CCCCGCCCTGGCACCAGGCTGGGGGACCTCAGGCTGTGCCCCTGCCTCGGCTCCAAGCTGGAGGGCCTCAGGTTGCACCCACTGCCTGGCAGGGCTTGATGGGGACCTCAGGCCACATCCCCTGCCCGGTGGAGCTTGATGGGGGGACCTCAGGCTGCACCCCCCACCCGGCGGTGCTTGATGGGGGTGGGGCTGGCCAGGTCTGGATCTAGCCCAATGGGGATGGGGATGGCCAGGTTTGGGTCTCGTGTGATTTTGAGGTGCATGTGGGTGGGCAGGGACTTGACTCTGGTTCCCGTGGCTCGCCCCAAACTCTGACAGGAGGAAGATTTTCATATACATTTTACTAATTTTCTTTCATCTCTGACACTTCTATAATAGAGAAAGGGCAAATAGCAATATTAAAATATTTCCTCTAATTAATTCCCTTTTAATGTGCACGAATTTCGTGCACTGGGTCACTAGTGTTTTATAAAGATGTTTGTGATGAGTTAATATATATATACATTGTGAAATGATTACTGTTGAGTATCTCCAAATACCATCACATTGGGAGTTAGGGTTTCAACATACAGTTTTGGAGGGAACACAGACATTCAGTCCATGTGAGGCCAACTGCATCCATACATTCTATTTTCTTCTTTGTTATACAAAAGATGGTACATACTTGATGGCATTAGAAATACAGACATTTTAGGGGAGGATAACACTTTTGAAAGGTCCACTGGGGAAGCAGCAGAATTGGTAGGGGAGCCTCAGAATTGTGATACACATTTGCCAAAGTCTCAGCCAACTGAACGGGAGCTCTGGGTCAAGGATTGGCAGTGAGAGGAGGCCCTCATTAGGCCAAAGTGGCCCTGGAAGGTGCTGCTGCTAAAGACTGTTGGCCCACATACTCCACATGCTGAACCACAGGTTCTTTTCTGGAATAGAAATGCAGGTTGAGTTCACTTTGCTTTGTCAGCTTAGTGCATTCTAGGAACCATTTCCAATCATTTCACAGAGATTGCTTTGTTCTTTTTATATTTTACATAATACTACTACATAATTCTTCATCTGTTGATGGCCGGGATTTTGACTATAACCTTAATGTCTTTTTTTTTTTTTGTTGGAAAATATTTATGAATATCTAAATAAATGGAAACATATGCACCTGTCTATGGAAGGGAAGACTCAGTTTTGTAAAGACGTCATCACCTTCCAAATTTATACCTAAATTCAATGTGATTCCAATCAAAATCTCAGCAGAGTTTTCTTAGTAACTTATTAGTCAATTCTCACATTGATATAGAATCAAAAGACCAAGAACAGCAACCTTTAGTTTGTTCTCTGTATCCATGAATCTGTTTTTGTTAGTTTGTTTGTTTTGTTCTTTAGATTTCACATATAAGTGAAATTATATAAAGATGACATATAGATGGCCAACAGACATATGAAAAGATGCTCAATGTCACTAATCATCGAGTAATACAAATTAAAACCACAATGAAATATCACCTCATACCTGACAGAATGGCTGTCATCAATAATCAACAAACAACAAGTGTTGGTATGTATGTAGAGACAAAGAAACCCTTGTGCACTGTTGGTGGGATTGCAAATTGGTACAGCCACTATGGAAAACAGTATGGAGGGTCCTCAAAGAATTAAAAATAGAATTACCATTTTGTCCAGCATTCCACTCCTGGGACTATCTCTGAATAAATCCGAAACACTAATTTGAAACTATATATGTACCTTATATTCATTGCAGCATTATTTACAATAGCCAAGTTTTTTTTTAAAATATAATTAACAGTTTATTTAAATCACCTGAAAATGTGACATTCTTTTTTTTTTTATTAAATCTTTATTGTTCAGATTATTACATTTGTTCCTCTTTTTTCCCCCCCATAACTCCCCTCCTCCCAGTTCCCGCCCCACCCTCCGCCCTCACTCCCCACCCACTGTCCTCATCCATAGGTGCACGGTTTTTGTCCAGTCTCTTCCCGAATCTCCCACACCCCTTTCCCCCCCAAGAATAGTCAGTCCATTCCCTTTCTATGTCCCTGATTCTATTATAATCACCAGTTCATTCTGTTCATCATATTATTTATTCACTTGATTCTTAGATTCACTTGTTGATAGATGCATATTTGTTGTTCATAATTTGTATCTTTACCTTTTTCTTCCTCTTCCTCTTCTTAAAGGATACCTTTCAGCATTTCATATAATCCTGGTTTGGTGGTGATGAACTCCTTTAGCTTTTCCTTATCTGTGAAGCTCTTTATCTGACTTTCAATTCTGAATGATAGCTTTGCTGGATAAAGTAATCTTGGTTGTAGGCTCTTGGTATTCATCACTTTGAATATTTCTTGCCACTCCCTTCTGGCCTGCAAAGTTTCTGTTGAGAAATCAGCTGACAGTCGTATGGGTATTCCCTTGTAGGTAACTGAGTTTCTTTCTCTTGCTGCTTTTAAGATTCTCTCTTTATCTTTTGCTCTTGGCATTTTAATTATGATGTGTCTTGGTGTGGTCCTCTTTGGATTCCTTTTGTTTGGGGTTCTCCGCACTTCTTGGACCTGTAAGTCCATTTCTTTCACCAGGTGGGGGAAGTTTTCTGTCATTATTTCTTCAAATAGGTTTTCAATATCTTGCTCTCTCTCATCTTCTGGCACCCCTATAATTCTGATGTTGGTACGCTTGAAGCTGTCCCAGAGGCTCCTTACACTATCCTCGCATTTTTGGATTCTTTTTTCATTTTGCTTTTCCGGTTTGGTGTTTTTTGCTTCCTCGCATTTCAAATCATTGACTTGATTCTTGCGCTCCTCTGGTCTGCTGTCGGGAGTCTGTATAATATTCGTTATTTCAGTCCGTGTATGCTTAATTTCTAGGTGGTTCCCCAATATAAGATCGAGGGTCTCATTAGTTTTCTTGTAGATCTCATTAAGTTTATCGGCGGCTTCTAAACAGTTCTTGAGAGACCTTAAAAGTGTGGTTCTGAACTCTATATCTTCCATTGACAATTTTGTCCTGTTTCTTTGTCTCCGCATTTTGTTATGCTTCCTTGGTGCACCCCCTAGTGGTCTTTGTTCGCAGTCTTATAGTTAAACCTTGATTGTTGTAGCTAATACCAGGGAGGGTTTGACCTCCAGGCCAAGTGGCTATGAGAATCAGCTGTGTCAGCAGTGAGAGAACTTCTGTCCTCTAGGGAGGTGCTAATCTGGCGTTTGCCTGAGGCTATCCGGCAAATGCCTCTGTGCAGGGCTTGGGCGGGGCGGGGCGGGTCGCACAGGATCAACAGGGTGGGCCGGAGAGAGCAGTTATGGCGGCTCTCAGTCCTGTCCCCAGGGGCTCTGCCTCTCTGAGTCCCAGCACCCCCTGCAAACCTCGGAGAGAAAGCTGCACTCGCTCTGACCGAAGCCAGACAGTCCCGCTTCTCCCGTTTGAGTCTGGGTCCCTAAAGACTCGCCTGTGTCTGGAGCTCAGAGTCTGTGACTCCCTCCCGATTGAAAACGCCACCCGCGCCCTCCGCCGCCAGCCCGCTCCGTGCACTCCGCACCTCAGAATTTGACTTCAGCACTGCGCCTCCTCTGAGTGTCCGTATGCGTTTCTCTTTCCTCCTAGTTGTAGGACTTCCACTCAGCCAGCGTTCCTGTGGTTCTGGGTGATGTCCGTTCCGTCTTTTAGTTTCACTTTCGAAGTAGTTGTTCAAAGCAGCAAACTCCGGCGTTAACCTATGCCGCCATCTTGGTTCTCTTGTGACATTCTTTCAATAGCCAAGTTTTTTAAGCAACCCAAATGCCCATCAATAGATGATTGGATAAAGAAGAGGTAGTACCATATACAATGGAATATTACTCGGCTATTAAAATAATGAAATCTTACCATTTGCACAACATGAAAGGATCTAGAGCAGCGGTTCTCAACCTGTGGGTCGCGCCCCCTTTGGGGGTCAAACGACCCTTTCACAGGGGTCCCCTAAGACCATCGGAAAACACATATATAATTACATATTGTTTTTGTGATTAATCACTATGCTTTAGTTATGTTCAATTTATAACAATGAAAATACATCCTGCATATCAGATATTTACATTAAGATTCATAACAGTAGCAAAATTACAGTTATGAAGTAACAACAAAAATAATTTTATGGTTGGAGGTCACCACAACATGAGGAACTGTATTAAAGGGTTGCGGCATTAGGAAGGTTGAGAACCACTGATCTTGAGGGTATTATGCTAAGTGAAATAAGTCAGACAGAGAAAGACAAATTAATGTCTTATTTGCTGTTTCTTTTGTGTTCAGATGAATTATTAGTGGCTGTGGTTTAGTTTTATAAAGGATTACTTGTTAGTATTAATAAATGCAAGGTTGCTTCCAGGTAGATCATGAGATTGGCTTTTTGCCAGTTCCATGGGTCACTGTTAGAGCCCCTTCAGCACTCAATGCTTTTATAACTCTTATATTATGGAATTAGAATCTAGGATAAAATTGGCAGTTCTCTGACTAGTATATACCTATATGTGTTATTTTGTATTCTAACTTAGTTTCTGCCCAGTTTTTTCCATTGTTGAAAGTTGTAAGTATTTTTTAAAATATGTTTTTATTGATTTTTAGAGAGAGAGAGACATCAATCCATTGCCTCCCACATGCACCCCAACTAGGGATGGAACCCATAACCTTGACATGTGCTCTAACCTGGAATCAAACCAGTGACCCTTTGGTGTACAGGATGACGCTCTACCAGCTGAGCCACACTGGCCAGGGCAAAAGTTGTAAACATTACTCATTGGTTTAAAATACATGATTAGGATTGTGACCCATCACAATTCTGAGAAAAGGAGAGACAACTAGAGACAAACTGATCAGCTTACATAGTGCTGTTGGGCTGCCTAAGTTAGTCTGGAGTTCTGATGAAGAAGATAAGAGTGACTGTGCCTGTGGGCACCCTGGTTGTAAAATCATGTTACTTCTTCAAGTGATAACATCAGATTATTCTGTGTGTTTTTCTCCAGCTGGTTTCCCCATGAGCTATGCAGCAGCAGCTCCTGCCTACTCCCCCAACATATACCCTGGAGCAAATCCTACCTTCCAAACAGGTATGCAGGTTGTATGTGATGGGTGGCAAAAAATGCTTTGTCCATGCAGCTGGGGAGAATATAAGGTGAGTGGATTTTGAGGGGAGTGGTTATAGAATTAGGATTTGGGGTTGATTTCTTGGTTCATAAGATTAGCCTTGTTGATAAGGACAATCAAAGCTTAATTCTTTCATGTAACACTTTAGATAATGCATTTCTTTTAAAAAATATATTTCTTTTATTGATTTCAGAGAGGAAGGGAGAGGGAGAGAGAGATAGAAACATCAATGATGAGAAAGAATTATTGATTGGCTGCCTCCTGCACGCCCCCTAGTGGGGATTGAGCCTGCAACCCGGGCATGTGCCCTTGGCTGGAATCAAACCTGGGACCCTTCAGTCTGCAGGCCGACGTTCTATCCACAGAGCCAAACTGACTAGGGCTAGGTATAGCATTTCTGATGTCCTTTCACAACACAGATCTTCATTCTAAATATAGATTGTTACAGGTAAATAGTTGTACCAGAACATGTATTTATGAAATAGAGTTGATTACAAGGAACTGAAGATCATCTTGCTATGTCAATAGGTGGAATTTCGATGTTACTAACATTTTTAGATATTTAAGATCATTTTAGTCCTTTGTTTACAGCAGCCGTGGGCAAACTACAGCCTGCGGGCCGGATCCGGCCCTTTTGAAATGAATAAAACTATTGAAAAAAAAGACTGTACCCTTTTATTTAATGATGTTTACTTTAAATTTATATTAGTTCACACAAACACTCCATCCATGCTTTTGTTCCGGCCCTCCGGTCCAGTTTAAGAACCCAATGTGGCCCTCGAGTCAAAAAGTTTGCCCACCCCTGGTTTACAGTGTTAAAAGAAAGTCTTATTTTCTATGTAAGTATTCTATATGGTTTTCAAAGAAAGTCTTATTTTATTTTTTGTGTGGTTTTTGTTGTTGCTATTCTTGTTTCTAAAAGTCTTATTTCCTGTGCATGAGAATCTTTTCACATTTTAAAATTAGTGATGAAATTGGAATTAGTTTGGGTCTGAACCTGGTAAAGATAGTTTATTTAGTGGAATTTTTCTCTGCGAGCCTGCACTATGGTGTTGGCTCATTCCAGGCTTTATTTACCGAGACTGGACTTTGTGAATCTGATGCAGCAATGGTGGCCCATGCTCTGACTTGAAGGCTCAGCCTCACTGGTCCGCTGGGCGCTTCTTTGTCCTTCGGAACCCATAGCCTCACACACTTAACTTTACAGAAGAGAGGACAGCAGTAATATCCTTTTCCCATATTATTTCTATTTTTTAATCATAAAGTTCTTCCTTTTATCCATCTTTTCCTTTTTATTTCCACTCTGACCATCTTTGTTCAGCCAAAGCTCACACACAGAGATGGCTTCTTCTTTATCAAATAGTTGTTTTTATATTGCCTAGCTTTTATTCACTCTTTTTCTCCTACCTGAACTAGAGAACCTGCTACTTTGCATCTGTCTTTTGGGGGTTGTTATGGACTATCCCTTCCCTGGGGTCAACAGTGTTATTCACTGGATTTTTAGGCCAAATGGCACTACCCATCTCCTTACATAAAATATCTCACCTTTTGGGGAGGTCAGTGGTGCGGGGGGAAGAGAGGGGGGGGCGCGCGGGGGGGAAAGAGACATACGTACTACTATTTGTAATACCTTAAACCGGTGGTTCTCAACCTTCCTAATGCCGCGACCCTTTAATACAGTTCCTCATGTTGTGGTGACCTCCAACCATAAAATTATTTTCGCTGCTACTTCATAACCGTAATTTTGCTACTGTTACGAATCATAATCTAAATATCTGATATGCAGGATGTATTTAGGCGACCCCTGTGAAAGAGTTGTTTGACCCCCAAAGGGGTCGCGACCCACAGGTTGAGAAACGCTGCATAAAATTAAAAAATAAATAAATAAAGATAAAAAAAAGTCTCACCTTGTTTAACTTTTAAAAAACAACTCTCTTGAGCTATAAATGACATGTGGTAAATTGCACATACTTAAAAGTATATAGTTTGGTAACTTATGATCTAATATGTACCACCTTCACAGCTGAAAGTAAGCATATCTCTCACCCATAAGTTTTCTGTTGTTGGCCCTTTGTAATCTCACCTAGGCTCTGGGAAATCACCAATCCGTTTTCTCTCATTATAGACCATTTGTATTTTCTAAAATTTTTTTTATATATATATATATATATTTAATTCTTTATTAGTTGAGGTATTACAAATGTGTCCTCATCCCCTCCATTAAACCCCCATTCCCCCCCCCCCGCCCCCCACTCATGCTCTCATCCCCCTGTTGTCCATGGGTTTGGCTTATATGCATGCATACATGTCCTTTGGTTGATCTCTTCCCCTTATCCCCTCCCTCCCCTACTTTCCCTCTGGGGATTGATAGTCTGATCGCTCTTTCTCTGTCTTTGGATCTGTCCCTGTTCATCAGTCTATGTTCTCTATAATCCACAAATGAGTGAGATCATGAGATCATCTTTCTCTGACTGAGTTATTTCATTAGCATAATGCTCTCCAGCTCCATCCATGCTGTTGCAAAAGGCAAGAGTTCCTTCTTTTTTACCGCAGCATAGTATTCCATTGTATAGATGTACCACAGTTTTCTAATCTACTCATCTGCTGATGGGCACTTAGGCTGTTTCCAAATCTTAGCTATGGTGAATTGTGCTGCTATGAACATAAGAGTGCGTATATCTTTTCTGATTGGTGTTTCTGGTTTCTTGGGATATATTCCTAGAAGTGGGATCACTGGGTCAAATGGGAGTTCCATTTTTAGTTTTTTGAGGAAGCTCCATACTGTTCTCCACAGTGGCTGTACCAGACTGCATTCCCACCAGCAGTGCAGAAGGGTTCCTTTTACTCCACATCCTCTCCAACACTTGTTGTTTGTTGATTTGTTGATAATAGCCATTCTGACAGGTGTGAGATGATACCGCATTGTCGTTTTGATTTGCATCTCTCGGATGATTAGTGACTTTGAGCTTGTTTTCATATGTCTTTCGGCCTTCTGTATGTCCTCTTTTGGAAAGTGTCTATCTAGGTCCGTTGCCCATTTTTTGATTGGATTGTTATCTTCCTATTGTTAAGTTTCATGAATTCCCTGTAAATGTTGGAGATTATACCCTTATCGGTGATATCATTGGCAAATATGTTCTCCCATGTAGTGGGTCTTCTTGTTGTTTTGTTGATGGTTTCCTTTGCTGTGCACTAGCTTTTTATTTTGATGTAGTCCCATTTGTTTATTTTCTCTTTAGTTTCCATTGCCCTAGGAGCAGTATCAGGGAAGAAATTCCTTCGGCATATGTTTGCGATTTCGCTGCCTGTGGATTCCTCTAGTATTTTTATGGTTTCCCGTCTTACGTTTAAGTCTTTTATTCATTTTGAGTTTATTTTTGTGTATGGTGTGAGTTGGTGGTCTAGTTTCATCTTTTTGCATGTATCTGTCCAATTTTCCCAACACCATTTACTGAAGAGACTGTCTTAACTCCATTGTATGCTCTTGCCTCCTTTGTTGAATATTAATTTGGTGTAGTGGTTTGGGTCGATTTCTGGGTTCTCTATTCTATTCCATTGATCTATATGTCTGTTCTTGTGCCAGTACCAGGCTGTTTTAAGAACAGTGGCTTTGTAATACAGTTTGATATCTGGTATTGAGATTCCACCAACTTTGTTCTTCTTTCTCAGGATTGCTGCAGCTATTCGGGGTCTTTTTTTATTCCAGATGAATTTTTGGAACGTTCATTCTAGATCTGTGAAATATGCCAGTGGTAATTTAATGGGGATTGCATTGAATCTATAGATTGCTTTAGGTAGTATGGACATTTTGATGATGTTGATTGTACCAATCCATGAACACAGTATGTTCTTCCATCTGTTTATGTCTTCCTCTATCTCTTTTTTCAGTGTCCTGTAGTTTTTCGCATATAAGTCTTTTAACTCCTTAGTTAAGTTTATTCCTAGGTATCTTAAATTTTTTTGGTGTGATGGTAAATAGGATTGCTTTTTTAGTCTCACTTTCTGTAAGTTCACTATTGGTGTAAAGAAATGCCATGGATTTCTTGGCATTAATTTTGTATCCTGCTACATTGCCGAATTCATTTATTAAGACTAATAATTTTTTGATGGAGTCTTTAGGTTTCTCTATGTACAGTATCATGTCATCTGCAAATAAGGACAATTTTACTTATTTTCCAATTAGGATGCCTTTTATTTCTTCTTCTTGTCTGATCGCAATGGCTAGTACTTCCAGTACTATGTTGAACAGGAGTGGTGAGAGGGGGCATCCCTGTCTTATTCCTGTTTTTAGGGGGAATGGTTTTAGTTTTTCCCATTGATTATGATGTTGGCTGTGGGTTTGTCATATATGGCTTTTATTATGTTGAGGTATGATCCTTTTGTTCCTACCTTGCTGAGAGTTTTTATCAAGAAAGGGTGTTGAATTTTGTCAAAAGCTTTTTCTGCATCAATTGATATGATTTTTTTTCCTCTCAATTTGTTTATGTGATGTATCACGTTTATTGATTTGCGGATATTGTACCATCCTTGCATCCCTGGAATAAATCCTACTTGGTCATGGTGTATTATCTTTCCGATGTACTGCTGGATCCCATTTGCTAGGATTTTGTTGAGTATTTTGGCATCTGTGTTCATGAGGGATATTGGGCTGTAATTCTCTTTCATTGTGTTCTCTTTACCTGGTTTTGGTATTAGGGTGATGCTGGCTTCCTAGAATGAGCTTGGAAGTGTTCCTTCCTCTTGAATGTTTTGGAATAGTCCGAGGAGGATAGGTTTTAGTTCTTTCTTGAATGTTTAGTAAAACTGCTCTGTGAAGCCGTCTGGCCCCGGGCTTTTGTTTGCTGAAAGCTTTTTGATTACTGCTTCAATTTCCTCCATAGTTATTGGCCTATTGAGATTTTTAGCTTCTTCCTGATTAAGTTTTGGAAGGTTGTATTTTTCTAAGAATATGTCCATTTCCTCC